ATTAATGTCAGTTTTCGAAAAATAAAAAAAAATTTGTATGTTTCTGTAAAAAATAAAAAATTATTGAAAAAATAAAAACGTGCAATACTTTTGTCCCCCCCCCCCCCCCCCCGGTAAGTCTGCACTGGTATAGATATAAACAAACATTGCTTGGTAACTGATCCATCACGATATCTGAAATCTTTTCTACATCAACATTTTTTGGTGCTAAAATGGCTCTACAAACCATATAAATTACATTGCCAGAATTTTGTGCTAAGTTCGAATAAACAAAGTTGATAAGGTCTATCAAATTTCCTTTGGGTATTATCATATCTGAAGGAAGGGTTATAATATTCTCCATGCTCAGGTTAATTGGGTATTTACCATTTTCAATTTCCAAAAGAAATTTTGCAAAATTTCTTTGATTTTAGTTTTCTTGAAAATCGTGCGTCTGATATAATCTTATATTAATTGTTAATTTCATCAATTCCATATGATTCTATAGAGCGGACTAATGCAAGCTTGCTGAGACAATATCAGTGCGGGATGCACGTGGTATAACTGGTAGGATTTGGCAAAAATCTCCTCCAAAAACAAAGGTCTTTCCTCTGAATGGTTCGTCTATTTTGGTGATATCACGAAATGTTTGATCAACAGCTTCAAAGGCAAATTTGTGCATCATCAGGGCTTTATCCCAAACAAAAAGTTTTGCTATGTTGATCAAACGGGCCTCTTTACTTCTTCATGAAATGTTGCATGTTGAAGACAGATTGAGGTTAATAGGAATTTTAAACTGGGAATATGCAGTTCTACCACTGCTTATTAATAATGTAACAATTCCAGAAGATACTACAGCTAATACAATATCATCATTTGATCTAATATTAGTGAATAAGGTATTATAAAGAAAGGTCTTTCTGGTACCACTAGGTCCATTTACAAAAAAACACTTTGATCTATTTTGAATTACTTAGATAACAGCATTGTATATGATACATTGGTCTTCATTTAGTAATCATATATTTCAATCTAATTCACTTTTTGATTGTACAGTATTATATGATCTTTCTTCGTGAATCAGTTAATCTAAGTCTTGGGTACTATTATAAATATCTGACACTATTTCCAAAAGGAGTGGCATATTTGAAAAATCTTTTAATGATTTTCCATTTAAATGCAGATAATATTCTAATGGATTAAGTGCCTTATTTTCAATAGAATCACTTACTTCACTATCTTGATTTTGGGCAAGTTTACAATTATGATATAGAATATCTTCACATAATGCTGATTTGTGTGTGTTTCATAAGTCTTCAGGTGCTATTGGTTAGCAAAAAAGAAGAATCATTTAAAAAAGTGTCATAATTGTTATCCCGTCTGTAATTGACTTGTCTCTCGTAACATGCATTTTATTCAGCATCATCTTGAAGCAAGCCTAAATATATGCATGTTTCTTTAAAACTTCTACATGAATGCTCATTAACAGATTTTAGATCATCAAAGCTGGTAGCACTCTTTACATTAATAATGTTGACCTTGATGATGAGTATGTGAATGACAATGATAATATGCCTACAACTGCTATTAGGTGTACTATTCAAATTAATTACAGTAATGTGCAAGCTATTCTTGACTCTGATTTAATTATTAGTATTATTACAAGTAGTTTAGTTAAGTGATTTCATTTAAAAATTGATGAATCTTCAAAGATTATTATCAATACTATGAATGTAAAAAGAGTAAGAGTTCTAGGAAAAATTAACACTATTAAAATGACAATTAGATCTATTTGAATGCTAATAACTTTATAGGTTATTAGATTTTCTGACAAAAATCTATTATTAGAAACAGATTGGTTCAAAAAAACTAAAACCATCCTTAATTTTGATGAAAAAAAATGGAGTTCAAATATCTTACAAAATCTGCTTCAGTTTCAATCACTTTTTATACCAGTTCTTCTGTTGAATTAGATGAAGAATCTGATACTTTCATGAATGAATTAATTGATACGATTAAAGATTTCACATATAACCAATATGAAGAAGAGGATCTTGATAAAAAGGATATCTTTTACTTTCACAGTGAAGATAACTCTGACAAAGAAAGTCTGTTTGACTTTGATGAAAAGGAATTATTTGTTAACCTTTGGAATGACAATTTAGCAGTATTCTTAGCATAAGCTGAGTAACCAAAATTCCAAAATAATGAGTGGAGTATTCAAGAAGATTTACATATTGGACCCTTAGATGTTAATCAACAAGAATTTTTTGAGTAATTTATCAAAAAAAATAAGGATATCTGTGCCTTTAATCAGACGAAAATTGGTCATACAACTTTATTTTAACATCAAATTCCTACAGGAGATCATAAATCAATCATTAGTCTTGCATATTGATTAAAGAATCCTGCAAAATTAAAATTTCTTCAAAATAAAATTAAAGAATGAAAGAAAATGATATTATTTAAAAGTCAAAAAACTCTTGAGCTTTCTCAGTTATTATTGTATCAAAAAAACTGGAGGTGTACAAATTTGTATTGATTACAAGAAGCTTAATTCTATAACTAAGAGAGATACTTATCCTCTCCCACTTATCAATAATTTGCTTAAGAAATTTAGAAATGTAAGTTGGTTCTTTACATTTGATCTTGTTAGTAGATATTGGTAAGTAAAAATAGAAGAGAGTGATTATGAAAAGACTACCTTTATCTGTTAATATAATCTTTATGAATTTAAGAAAATGCCTTTTGGATTAAAAAATGCTTTTAAAACATTTCAACGTCTCATGAATTTTATCCTATAAGGATATCTTTATAAGTTTATAACAGTATATTTAGATGACATTATCTATTCAAAAACCTATAAAGAACATTTGCAATATTTACAAATAGTGTTTAAAGTAATTAAAAAGGTAAACTTAATGATTAAATTAAAAAAGTATCAATTCTACCTTTCAAATATTCCATTCCTTAGACACATTATAGGAAGAAGTGGTTTACAACCTGATTCTGAAAAAATTAGAAAAATTAAAGAACTTCTAGCTCCTTAAGGATTAACTAAATTAAGAGCAACTCTAGGAATATTCTCATATTATCGTAAATTTGTTAAGGGATTTTCTCAAATCACTAAATCTATAACTATAATGCTAAAGAAGAATGCTTCATATGATTGAATTGAGAATTAATAAAACCTTTTGATAAATTAAAAGAGAAGTTAATTACATCTCCTATCCTTCAATACTTAGACTTTACTAAGGAATTCATACTCTACACTGATGTCTCAGAAGTAGGACTAAGAGCAGTATTATCTCAATTAGATGATGATAAAAATGAACATGTTATTGCTTATGCAAGTAAAAATATGAATAAGGCTGAGCAAAATTATCTGATTACAGACCAAGAATGCTTAGCAGTAGTTTAGATTATCAGAAATTTTCATTATTATCTTAGTTCTAAACCATTCACTATTGTAACTGATCACTCTACTCTCAAATGGTTAAGGACCTCAAAAATTCCTAAAGAATGTCATGCAAGATGGATTATAGAATTATAACAATATAATTTTAATATTCAACATAGATCTGAAAAAAATAAAGATAGCGTTGCAACTAATTGCAACCATGTAATACTTATTTGTCACCAGTTGCAACTAGTTGCAGCATCATCTTTAGAAAAGAATAATGCTAATGCTGATACATTATCTTGATTAATTTCTGATCATGAAAAAGATAACATTTTTAAAGAAATTTTATGCTCTCAATTAATAAAAACACTGATGAAGAAATAGAATAGTATATTTCTCCCTTTGAAAATAATGAAACTCTATCTGAAAAGTTGTTTGAGGAAATGGAATTAGAGGAAGAATTAGTTTCGCTATATTCTTATACATTCTTGATTACTAAAGGATATTAATATCCTAAAGATGAGTTAGAAGATATTTTTAAAGAAAATATAAAAATTAAGCAAGTGATAGCTAACCAACTGATCATTAAAGAAGAATCACAATGTAATTATAATTGTGACATCTAAAACTATCATATCCATACATATTGCAAGGTTTGCAAAAGAAATTTAACATATAAAATAATTGAATATCATTGCATTATTAGATTTGATCCTAGACAAATTCAACAGATATGAATCCTAATTATTTAATTAATGATCTTTAGTGAGATGAACCAATTTTAGTTCAATAAGAAAACCTTTATTATTAACTTATTATATACTTGAAAACCCTAAACATCTTCTTGTTTTCTATATTTAAATATTCCGATTTATATCTATTATTTATTTAAGTAATATTAGTAATTTTTATTTTAGAGTGAAAGTGAAAATATCTACATTATGATAGGTAACTCAAATATTATGAAACTTAATCAATATAATAATTTATTCATTTATATAACTTTAAATCAATTACTCTCATCTTTTAATCTAAATGGAATTGCAAAACTCAAAAGACAATCAAAATTTTATACAGTTCACCTTAATTTCTTATATAAAAGCAAAGATAAATAAATGCTCCTGAAAAGTTTCTAAGAGTAATTAAAGAAACTGAATTAGATGCAATCCTTTACATAATGCATAATGATCTAACAGCTGGATATTTTTCTACTAACATCATGTTTAATGAAGTTCGTACTAGATATTATTTAATCTCAAATATATAAAAGTATCAGAAAATATGTTCAATCATATGATGCTTGCTAACAACAAGGAAGGGATAAAACAAAAAGTGAATTATATCCTATTTAGTTAATTCACCATTTTATAAAATTGGAATAAATTTAGTTAGGCCTTTATCAAGAACTAGTAGAAGAAATAAATACATTATCATTTTCATGAATTATTGAACAAAATGGCCAAAAGCTAAAGCAGTTAAAGATGCTACTGCTAAAAATGTTGTTAAGTTCTTATATAAGAATATCATTTGCCAACATGGATATTTAACTAAAATCTTATCAGATAGAGAATTTTATTTTATTAATCAATTAGTTATAGAATTGATGGAACAATTTTATATTCATTATAATCTATCTACTTCTTATCATTTTAGGACAAATAGATTAATGGAATAATTCAATAGAACTTTATGTGAATCATTAGCAAAATTGGCTAAAAGATCTACTTAATAGGACCAATATATTTCTCCTGTTTTATTTACTTATTGTATAAGTAAATAATCAGCCACAAAAATTGAACCCTTTTGTTTAGTTTTATAGACAAAATACAACGTTATTTATTGATAATCCTGATAATCTTAATAACCTTTATACTAACCTATTCAAGAAAGAATTAATCAACTGATCAACAAATTACCTTTGATGTGACTAGATGCTAAAGTACAAATACAACTTGCACAACATTAACAAAAGAAGTACCATGATAAAAATATAAGAATCTCTGTTTTACATAAAATTAAAGATAAGATTTTGTACTTGAAGCTGTAAAAGATAAAACCCACTCTGAAAAATTGGATCAAAAATGAAAGAGACAATATTATATTCATCAAATCTTATTAAATAGCTCTTACAAAATAAGAGAATTAGATGATTGTATACTTTATACACTAATAAATAGAGACCTTTTGAAGATATATAAAGACCCATATTTTTAAATTATATTTTTCTGTTTATTTCCATTTTTATTTTTTTTTTATCTTTATTTTTATCATTTTTATAACTCTACAAAAATAGAATAATTTTTTATTAAAGATTTAAATAAAACCTTGTCCTTAAAAGTAACTTCTTCTTTTCTCTTACATTTAATTAGAATGGACTTACAAAAGAAATTTTAGATAACTTATCAAATGTTATTAAGAACTATTCAAATGAAAAACTGAACTTTTACTTTAATCAATGCTTATTACTTAGAAAAACTTTTAGAAACAAAAACTTCTTTATTAGTATAATGAAGTCAATTGAGAAAACTAGTTACTAAATATTATAGTACTGCCTCAATTTGAATATATTATCTTTATAAAATGCTAAGTGTAGATCAAATTTAATAGTCAAGATATACACCGTTGAGAAAAATCTATCTTTTTCAAGTCAAACCTACTGGTCTCTCATTAATGAAACTATAGATATTTGGATAAGAGCTCAAAATTTAAAAGGGGAGGATTGAAGCTGTGATCTGTGACTATGCCTTAATTAGTCATATGATCAAAATAATTAATAAAGTTAACGAAGTAAACAAATTAGACCAAATTGCTAAAGTAGTTATTATTGATCTATTTAATATATTAGTTAGATTAGTTATATTAATTATAATTGTTATATTTGTTAATTATATTATTTTTAGTAGAGTAGTTATATTTATCTTTTATATTATATTTGTTATATATTTTATAGTATTTTATTTTATATAAATATCTTGTATTTTTCCTTAAGTTAAAAGTAACTCAAGTTAAGATTTTAGAATAAACTAAGAGTTTAATAAAGGAATCATTAAATTCTTTACTATTGCTTTTTATCATGTCTTTATATAAGTATGATTGTAAATTGTCTTGTATTTAATTCAACAGATTGAATTAAAAGTTAATCATTTAAGTTTACAGATACCAAACTAACAATATGAATAAACAAGATTCAAAGATAATATTTTTTACCTCTAAAAGTTGTATCATATAAAGTCTTCTAATGGCTTCTGTTGCAATCTTTCAAAAGTTTTACTTATAGTG